CAGAGGTGAAATGAAAACACCAGAGACTCTCCACATTCCTGCATCAGGAAAGATTATTAGAGAACCAGAGGAGGCCCTGAACTGAAGTTGGTGGCCTGGGTGGATCCAAGTGGTTCGATAAAAGAGCAATGTGAACACCTACAAAGAAACTGGTGGCTGCCAGTGGACAGGGTATCCACTGTTCTGCCGTCCACACTGCTGAGGGACAGATTGTATACTCACAATGGGGCCACCGCAGTGGCCTCTTCTAAGCAGAGACTGCTGGGGAGACTTTCTGCTTTTTAGCTGTCACAGATAAGTACACAGTGAATGCTCCAAAAAAAGAAAGAACCAAAGGGGGGAAAAAAAAAACTTGCAATGTGAATTTGCCATTCAAACGCAATTTCATTGCAGGTCTGCAAGCTTATCAGCCTCCTTCAGCTAAATTACTACCCCTGCGTGCCTCCCACACAGACACACTGGTGTTGCCAAGGAGCGTGGGTGAACACCCTACCCCGCTGATCTAATCCACTTCAGTGAAATGTGTATGAGATTTCACGCCGACAGCAGGGCAGAATAAGTGATTTTGCGGGCCTAGAAATAAATTATTGGCTGTCTAAACATCTACCAAATTTAGATACCAGCGGAACTAAAGACTTCTTCCTTTTCCTGTTCCTCCTTTCTCTTTTTCCTCTGCCCAGGCCATCTCCTTCCCCCTCACCCATGCCCCACTGAGCAGTCGGAGCTTCTCTAGCACAGCTTGGCTTCATACTAAGGAGCATACCCTCTCCTCTACTGAAGAGGCAGAGCCGCCAAGATGCTCAAGATACTCAGCTTTGGCTGCCAGTTTGCTCTGAGGCCTTTGCTTTCCTGAGCCTGACTGATCTGGACGGGCTGTAAGTCACTGCTTCTACATCTGAACAGCTCTATCGGGGAACAAAGACTGACTTCTCTTCTGGCTCTACAGGGCTAGATGTTCATGATGTGTGAATTCAGACCATAGTCCCTCAACTGCTCCCAAGAGAAAACTGCATGAAGTCTTTATTTCAAGAGTTTTCATGTTCTGTTAAGAAGAAAATAAGAACAAGAAAACCTCATTTTATTTATCTATCATCTCATCTGTCATATCATATCTATCATATCATCTGTCATAATCTATCAAATCATCTATCTACCATCTACCTACCATCATCTATTTACCTACCTATCTACCTACCTATGCACGTCTACCTACCTACCTGTTCATCTATATATCTATCTATAGTTCTCTCCTGTCAACCGCTTCTTGGTGTTTCTGGCCTCACATCTCTCTCTCCTCTCCACTCAGCACCTTCTTACCTCAGCCTGTGAGGATAAGAGAATGCTTACAACTCTCCCAGGCACAATCAGACCAAAACACAGTGTTTGATCCCAGGCCTCCTTGCAACCACGCATGATTTGTGGAACACACTGGGAAGGAAAGGCCATTGTCTTAGTCAGGGTTTCTACTGCTGCTATGACTTGCCATGACCATAAAGCAAGTTGGGGAGGGAAACACTGTTGTTTGCCTCTGAAGAAAGTCAGGACAGGAACTCAAACAGGGCAGGATCCTGGAGGCAGGAGCTGATGCAGAGGCTATGAAGGGGTCCTGCTTACTGCCTTGCTTCCCAAGGCTTGCTCAGCCTGATTTCTTATAGAACCCAGGACCAGTGGCCCAGGGATGGCACCACCCACCAGGGTTGGGCCCTCCCCCATTGATCTCTGACTGAGAAATGCCTTAGAGCTGGATTTCAAGGAGCCATTTCCTTATCTGAGGCTCCTTCCTCTCTGATGACTCCAGCTTGGTGAAGTTGACACGCAGCCAGCCAGTCCACCCGTGAACACATTCTAGAGGAGCCTCTGTCAGTCTCTGTGGAATAGAACTCCTGGGCGGGGTGTGAACTGGGATTTAGCCATTCTGTAGCCAAAACTAATATTGTAAAAACTTACTGATGAATTTCACGCTGAAGTTCCCCACTGTGAAGTCAGACAAGCAGCAGATCGCCTTCCAGAACACTTCCTTGGATCTGGTTTTAGTATTTGTTTTTAAGAACTAGAGTGAAGGCATGCTAAAGAGCCAAGAAATCGTCACCAAATAGAGTCTTAACCTTGATGGGAAAAGCCCCTCCATGACTTTCCTGCATGGAAGGTCATCTTCCGAGAAAGAGAAGACTAGCTATGTTTTTTGTCAAAACATGGAAACAGGATCGTCTGGGAATTCATTTTTATCCCCCGTATTTGTTCAAATACTTGACTGCAGAGGAACACCGGTGCTCCTGAAAAGTGGGCTGATGACCACACGTGTAAAGCAGTTTGTAGTCACTTTGGGTCTTCTCCTCATGCTTGCTTTGGAAATAAATTTTAAAGCCTAGTGTCTCTCTCTCTCTCTCTCTCTTTTCCAAGACAGAGTTTCTCTGTATAGCTTTGGTGCCTGTCCTGGAATTCACTCTGTAGACAAGGTTGGTCTAGAACTCACAGAGATCCACCTGCCTCTGCCTCCCAAGTGCTGGAATTAAAGGTGTGCACCACCACCGCCCAGTTTAAGGCTAGTGTTTCTAAAGTGTCTTATTTTACTTACAAATTTTGTTATTCTAGTTCTCAGTCTAGAAAACTCTAACATTACTTGTAGAAACTTACATGCAAGTTGAGTAAATAACAGTGAATTGGTGCTCATAAACATATTGTGCAGAACCAATAAATGCAATCTATTTTATTTGCTTCATTAATAATTCTAATAGAACCTTACCAAATACTTAGATTGTTCTTATAAATGTAGTATTTAGTGATTATTCTTACATTATGGTGACTAGTTTGTTTTTGTGTTTTTCAAAACTGGGTATCATTACATAGCTCTGGCTGTCCTGGAATTCACTATGTAGATCAGGCTAGCCTTGAACTAACAGAGATCTGCCTGCCTCTGCCTCCCTAGTGCTGGGTTAAAGGCATGCACCACTAATCAATCCCAGTGGCTAAGGCTACTTTTATGCCCTTGCCACACCACAATGTTGAGTATAGATATGGTAAACTTCTCTTCTGCTTTTCATGTAAAAACAACCACACATCTAATTTAAATTGGAATTATAAACCCTACCAATATGCTAGGAATCTGATTGTTTAGTGGTACATAGTAGACTTCTCTGTCTTAAGATAATATATATCTTGCTTTCTTACAGGCTGTAGGTTCGCTGGACTTCCAAGGGCACTTATCACTCAACTGCAGCCATATGCCAATCCAGAATGGCACCAGTATGCCCTGGAGGCATGGCAGGGGGCAGGGGTTGTGCTACAATAGCTAGCTACCCCCTTCATTCAAGTCTAATACACATTTGAGAATGGTCACTTCTTACACAAAAGATTTTTAAATTATAGATTGTTAATTTTAAGACTTCCTATATGTGTTTATTAGAAATTAATAAAGGTCTGTGGAACTCCATGATGAACAGAAGCATAATATTTGTGTTTTACTAGCAACATCTAGTAATTGTAGAAATTTCTCATCACGAATATAGAAGCTACATTAGTCAAACATAAAACATGGCAATAAACACTAGTTATAACATACAATCACAATGCAGTATGTTTTCCATTAGTTTGTTATTGTACCATTGGTATACTGCCTAGACACAAATATATGATAAATGAGGCTGATTTTATTTGTGCGTAGATGATATAGTACGAAACACATATGTATTAGTATATTATTAAATATCTTTAATAATTAATTTTACTTTAAAAATATTTATTCTATTTAACTATGTATATATGTATGTGTGTGTTTAGAGGGTATGTACATGTGAGTGTAGGTAGCCGAAGAGAGAAGAGGGTATTAGATTCACTATCTTGCGTTACAAGCAGTTGTGAGCTACCAAATATGGGTTCTGAGAACCAAATTCAGGTCCTCTGCAAGAGCAGTCTGAGCTCTTAACCATTGAGCCGTCTCTCTAGCCACAATAATTAATTTTAAAAACCCATATTTTATCACGTTGTTTAGCAAATTAGACAGTTTAGAATCTACGAACTTTATATACATTTCTATACATACATTTCTCTTTCTCTGTACACAGATCTATACTAACACATACTTAAATGCACTCTGTTAGCGTGTGTTGCTGAAGCTAAGTGTCTCACACATATTCTTTCCAGTAAGGCTCAAGGCAAGCAATCAGGTAGATAATTAACCTCATTCCTGCGAGCTGAAACGGCTTTAGTAACTGACCGAAAACACTTAGCTTCTCAACATGGAGCGCAAACATAAGTCTAACTCTAGTTGATTCTTTATTGACATGCTATCTATATTCCCAATTTATATTATCAGCTGGAACCTACTTCTGCAAAATTCTCAAGGAGCTGAAGAAACTGGAGAAAGGTGGTAGTCATACGGAAGCATTACTTATAAACAAATACAAAATATGAAAGTGATTATTTAATACTAACTAAAGAATGCAAACTTTCTGCAAAATAGTGATTCTACATATAAGAAACTCCCTGAGTACATTAAAAATATTATTCAGCCTGCCATAAAACAAATCATACATAATTTTCAGGCTTTAATATGTCTTGTTCTTGTGAAACAATGGTCTAGGATTTGTGTTGCCTGCCTTATTTCTGAGATAAGCCAAACGATAAGAGCCTGCATCAGCCCATGCTTCCTAATATTTATAATGTTTTTTTGTCAGACACAAAATGAAGGCAGAGATGGCAGGCTTTCAACCTGCTTTTAGCTCTTGTGTAGGCCAACTGAGAAGCCAATGCACTTTTAGAAAAGGCAGCTTCCAGAAGCCTGTGGAGTTTTTCCCTACAACATAGCATAAACTCAGCCGCTTTACGTTACCTTGTAACTTGTTCCTCACCTACCTGTGACTTGCCTCCATGGAAGATGTCAAGATTCTCGTCTATGGATACCCTGTGAGGGCATGCGCTGCACACGTGTGAGTACACATGATGGAACAGGCAGAAAGTTCCCACAGAAAGTCTCCCTGGGTACAGCTCCTGTTACTGCTTACCTTGGCTGATCCACCGTGGCAGGAGCATGGATCCAAAAGGCCTGTGATGAGAATACCATCTTGGGATAGATATTCTTTTAGGCTCTCAACAGTATCTACCTATCTCATGTTTCCCAGCTAGATAGGCAATCCCAACTTTCCTGCAGAATACAGCTCCCCCCAGCCTGGCCAAGTACTCAGCTACTCCATGCTGAGAAAGATAAATCTTATAGGTCAATCATACTGAAATATATTTAAGATTTGCTGAACAAATAAATGAATAATAAAAAACAAGGTCCTTTCTACACTGAGTTCTTTCTTTTCCAAAGCTCAGATCTGTGAGAGCATTTTCTCATTTTTCCTTCATTTAGTGCAAGTTTGATTTGAGCTAGGCCTTCATGGGGGTCCAGTTCAACCAGTCATGACCGTGTTTGCTTTATTTCTAGTATACCTGCGCACACCCATGGCCTGCACCCTCCCGAACAGCATCCAGAGACACCATAGCAGGTGCTCTGGGTGTGGTTTCATCTAACTGCGTTAGAATTTCAACTTTCGAGCTGGATTTTTTTTTTATTAAGTCTACACAATTTTAGTAGGTGGGAGAAGGGCGAGAGGAGGGAGGACGAGGGGGCCCGAGGGAAGCCTGGAGGTTGGCCTAGTGTTGAAGAGACTCAGAACTTTACAAAGGCTTACTGGTATGGAGGAAAAAAAAATTCCAGGGAAAGTTAGCAAAAGCATGGGGCCTGTAAACACCAAATAATAAGAACCCGTCATCAGGAACGCAAGGGACCTTTTCAGGAGAGAAGCATCGAGAATTCCAGGAAGCACATATTCAAAGCCTGTTTCCTAGGCAGCTGAAGCCACCCACCTTCCTTTGAACAAACGGAGGCCAATTCAGTTCTCAAATGTGCCATTTGCCTCGGCTTTCAAAATAATCCCAAGTGTTCAGCTCGGTTCTCTTGTCTTTTGAAAGCAGCCAGTAGAAGGGTTTCGTGTTGTTCTCTAGCAGACCGCGGACACACTTTAATCACACACCTTGCCCTCTTACAACAAGGCTCCACTTCTATGATGTCTTTAACCTAAGCTGCACCTTCAGTATCTCCAGTACCTTTTTTTTTTTTGCTCCTTTAAAATGAACAGAGTGAGACATCTATTACTGGTATCTGAAACCCCACAGTAGCTGCTTAAAAAGTCTGGCTTGACTTCAGGGAAATGCAAATTAAAACTGCTTTGAGATTCTGTCTCACCCCAGTCCAAATGGCTATTATCAAGAAAATAAAGAACATCAACCGCCTAGGGAAACAGAAAGCCTTACTCACGGCCGGGAGGAGGGTAAACTGGTGTAGCCATTGTGGACAGCAGTATGGTGGTTTCTCAAAACGCTTAAAATGGACCTATTGTATGACCCTGCTATTCCAATCCTGAACGCATACATACAGGACTCCATGTCTTTCGACACTGTGTTCATTGCTTCTCCATCTACAGCAGCAAGGAAAAGGAGGCAGCTCAGACGTTCGTGAACAGATAGCGAAAGTGTGGTGCACAGACACAGTGAAACTTCATTCTGCTACAGAAAGCAGAAAGGTTATGAAATTTGAAGGAAAATTAGTGAATCTGGAAACTATATTAATGGAGAAAACATGTCCTCTCTTGTGCAGATAAATGTATGTATATGTAAGCCATGGAATTATGAAAGAAGGCAAGAGAGAGAGAGAGAGAGAGAGAGAGAGAGAGAGAGAGAGAGAGGAAAGAAGTATAGAGGAAGATGGGTGAATAATAGAACAAGTGTCGTGAAGACAGGAAGGAGGCTGCTGGGGATGGATGGGTACGCAGCTGGCAAGGGCATGAAGGGGAAGAAAGGAAAACAAAAAACAAGTTTCAGATTTAACACATGCACACACGTAAATGTGGCTTTAGTTAGACTGTGGTACATTTATATGATAAAATATTATATAGCTAGTATTGAACATATTCTACAAAAATAATGATATACAGGGAAGTTTAGGACATAGCATTATTGTCATTATTACAGTGGTGGGAAAGGATCAACAAATACTCTCCCCCTGAGCTACGCCCACAGAATATAGAATCAAATGAAAGTAAAATCATAAAATCAGCCCAGCAAAGTAAAAAGGTGGGTCTGGAAAGAAAAGAACCAAAATGTTAATTATTTAAAATAATAATAAAGAGAACACAACGCACAAAACAAACAAGAATTGTACAGTATAAAGCCACGGGGCTGGCACGGAGCTCGGCAGGAGCGCACCTGCCTGGCACACTTAAAGTGCTAAGGTTCAACCCGCAGTTTGAAAGAAAGCGCACAGGGTTTTCTGTGATCTCAAACTCTTCTTCCAGATCTCTTCTCTCCACCCAAAGCACCGAGTCTCGTCTTCAGAGGCCAACATCTTATTCTGTCCTAGGTATGTAAGAGCTCTTTGAAAGCATGTCCTGTCCTCAGGACCGTTCTTATTTTCCTCTTGTACACAGATACCCACCTTCGAGGACTAAGCACAGAACTACACACAGCAGGCATAGGATTGAATGCTTCGGCAGCAGAGCCAGAGCAGTGTGAGGCAGGAGGGGATGTTAGGGTACAGAAAAAGTGATGAAGCTCACTCGCTTAAGATGACAAATAAACGCAGAAGGGTGTTTTCATGAGCCTCTGCATTCTCCAGGAGGAATGAATGACGTTTTAATTTGAAAACAGTCTCTCTCTCTCTCTCCTTTCTCTCGTGTGTCTGTCTGTCTGTCTCTGTGACTGTCTGTCTCTTCCTCTGTGTGTGTGTGTGTGTGTGTGTGTGTGAGAGAGAGAGAGAGAGAGAGAGAGAGAGAGAGAACAGAGAGAGAGCTCCTCGATAGGATCCCTTAGCAGTCAATGTAGAATGGTCATGCTTAACAACTACACCTGCACTGAACAGAAGCAAGCACCTGGTCTCCACCGCATTGTACCACCACTTCCATCCCAAACTCTAATTTTGAGGTCAGAGGACACACAGAGAGGAGCATGATCAACCTAAGCACCTATGGGATCCTAGCTGGAGCAGCCTTTAGAAAAAAAAGAATACAGCAGAAGTCGCTGTAGGCAGAGAACAAGAGACAGCCAGTCCTTTAAAAGTCACCCCCAACACCCTCTACTATAGTTTCCCAGAGAGCCTGGCATAGTTGCCCTTCTGTGAGGACACAGCAAACCAGTCCTTTCCTGCTACAACTGGAATGTCTTATAGGGTGGGGATTTGGAAAAAGGCTTAAGGTAAGCCTTGGCAAAACCAACTCACAGTCCAGCGGCCAGATGTATTTTTGTTTTGACTTGTTTTGGCTTGACTTTGAGTGTGTAGTGTTTTATAAACACCTGATTTGCGATGGCGCAGGTGTGCTCCAGTTTGCCCAGGCCCCCCTCGTCCTAGTCATTCTCGTCACACTTCTTGTAACTTATATTTAGCATCCTCACTGCTGTTAGGAATGCAACCATGGGAACAGAGATTCTCGTAGCAGGAAGACTATGGTGAAAATACTCATTAGTAGGCAGCATCCAGGAAGTGCTTCTGCTGTACTGGATTCTATCCTGAGTTTTATATATTGACAGCACCTAAGGTTCCAAGCAGGCGAAAGCCTACACTGCTGGGATTCTACGCTGATTCCTTCCAACCATTTCTGCTAGGCTGAATGCATCCAAGTTAGGTATTTGGAACTCTTGTTCAGATGACTGTCTTAAAGACAGTAGAACCTTGCAATTTCCTGAACTCCCAAACCCCTTCTCAGCAATGACATTGGCTACAGGGTTGCTTAGCTGGAAAGCTCTCCACACAGAATCAGGCTGGGGCTTCACCTGAAACCTTATATTCAATGGGCTTCTCTTACTGACACATTTGATTATTCATATTTCATGCATAAAGACATCAAAAGCCAGATTCACACATGTTACAGGTCCTGAAAGGCAAGTTGCAGAGCTAGCTCTATCAGACCTTCTGTGAGATTTCTTATGGTGCGATAAGACATGAAAGGGAGAGATTTGTTGGGTGATGGTGGCACACACTTTTAATTCCAGCACTCAGGAGGCAGAGGCAGGCAGATCTCTGAGCAAGGCCAGTCTGGTCTACAGAGTGAATTCCATAACAGCCAGGGCAACATAGAGAAACCCTGTCTCAAAACCAAAAAACAAAACAAAACAAGTGAAAATGAGTAAAAAAGAAACCGCAGAAGTCATTTTTACAATGGTGGTGCTGGTTTATCCAGACATTACTGGGTCTCCCTCTCTGTTCACTCTCTGTTATCTAGGGGCTCTTACCTATGGAAATTCTATGTTCACCAAAGGATTTTGCTGAGGAGTAAAATCATTAGAGGCCAGTATATGCATTAATAGACACCTTTGCTAGTAGATACATTGTTCTATGCAGCCAATAAATGATCCTTTATCACCATACTGACCAAAAACAAAACAAAACAAAAAAAACCACTCAATAGCTTAGTTAGCAGCTTCACATTGTTGAAATTGTTTTTGAAACAAATATAAACTAATAAGTTATATGTTCACATGCTTAACTACTACTAATTGCAACCTATTCTGTACAAAGACCTGTAGCCAGAGTGGGACTGCAGTGCTGACCAAAGCGGGGCCTCTGCAAAGCTGACTCTGGGGAGTTATTCCTTGAAGCGACGACCATTGCTTTCCGTAAATATATGTGAAGTATGGTGCTCACCTTTCTCAGGCTGGCTCTGACCAGAGAATGGCAGGACCCTTTCTGAACTGGTCTGCAACATTTTTGGAATCCTATCAGGTTCTGCGTTTTGATATCATCCTTAAAATGCCCCCCCTCACAAGCACAGCAACACCATTCTGCATTTTAAGTTAATTCATTACTTATTTTCTCTGTTTACACATGGATTCTTATTGCAGTAGAATATTACTTATATTACAAATATGAGGTAAATAATTATTCAAAATTTCAAAAGGCTAAGATTCTTTTGAAGGTCACCAAAATAAATCACAACAAAACACACACACATACACACACATGTCCTATGTTTGCGGAGGCCTTCAGTGCCTCTCTTCTTTCTTTCTTCC